GTGATATGTGAACGCTCCATGACATTCGACGCGATTCTGACACATCATGTTCGGAAAATGTGCGCGTTCATAGTCCCCGTGATTTGAGCCGCTCGGCCAGGACGAATGAGAGAGCACACATATAGCAATACTGGATCTCGGGTGTGATATTGAAAAGAGAGTCTCGCTCCAACACTGGATATACGTGCGATGATGAAGCAAGGGCCGCATCACACTGAATTTTGTTGACCTTAGCTTAAACTGGTCTCGAGCTTCTCGTTCGAGCTCCGCACTGGGTCCGGAGCGAAGCTCCTCCGAATGTGAATCGTAGAGAGATGGTCAGAGGGAGATGAAGGAGAGCAATAGACGGCAATTCGTCGGTGACGACAAGCCCGTTTCCCTCGTTGTTCAAATCCCGTATCTAAAATCCCGTATCTAAAATCGTAAGATCCAGTATCTAAAATCGACATGGCAATACCACCACACATCCTGGTCTCTCGAAGCGAGGGAGAACCGCCGCTCCTAATTCCTTTGGAGGAAGATGGCTCTATCCATGTCGAGACAATAAATCTGTACTTCCCCAACACGGGGAAATTGTTCTATCGCCGGGAGGACCACCAAGGGATCTGGGGTCTTTCTGTGAGGGACATGAAGATGTTCCCACCCGCCGGGCAGGAAAAGTTTTTCTGCCGAAACCCCGATGGTAAGTCCATGCGGCCCTTCTAGGTGTGTCCCTGTTCTCGACGTAGCCAACCCGTCTATATCTCTAATATATGTACTCGCAGCGGCGCGCAGGAAAAAAATTTTGGTGACTTATTCGTTTTCCTCGGTACAGCTCAAGTGGAAATTCCGGAGCAGATGCTGGCCGAAACGCGGAGAGAGTCGGTGAGTTTAATCGATTTAAGCCTTCCCTTCTCGCGAATAGCTCTGACCTTTGGAGAATCATCAGGTACTGCTCAGGTCTCACTACATAATTCACTCTTAGGGCGGAGACAGCTTGCGTGCTATCGACGGCCTTCGACGACGTCGACGACAATACCAACGACTTAGCGACCACACCAATTCTGCTCATCAGAGATAGGAATAATCAGCGATAGGACATATGCTTCACATAACGTAAACTATTCACAGTAATCACAGAAGCACTCTATGCCTACATGTTCATTTATGGTACAATCATGGGCTGACCGATGGGGAGGCGGGAGGGAAGCGAAGACAGCACTTTTTTAGGGCTTTGAGAGGCAGTCCTCCGGGATCTCGCATCGAAGCCGCAGGATTTTTTTGACGAAAACTCGACGAGGGGCGACGTTGTCCTTTTTTTGAAAAATTTGAAAGTTTCGAGCCATCGCTCCGAGCGGCTTTTCGACACCATCCCCCGCGGCAGCGAGTGGAAACTCCCGATTTTCTTAAACAGAACTCCAGTGTATGCATCGCTTTTTTCCTCTTCAGGCTCTGCTGAAATTCATAAACGTGAAGACGGTTGCTTGCACTCTTGCTGGGATACGCACAGTCTTCTCGATGGGCTTTGTCATCGGCCACGCTCTCTGTAAGTTAAAATT